GAGGGACTGATTGAGACAGAACTGATTGAGACAGAAATTTTATTATTTACTTCGAAGTCATAAAATAATGACTCTGTCTGAAGATAAGACATTTATCCTAACCACAGTGGTGGTCAGGGCTGTCCTTAGCTGACGCGGTGCCCGGTGCGAGGTAGGGAGCGGGGGCCCCCTTGGTCCGTTCACGTCCCGGTTCACCGCGGGACTCCCTCAGGCGCTGGGCACCAGTTGCACCCCGCTAAGGATGGCCTTGGATTTTGGTGTGAAGTAACATATAAAAGACAATGTCTCCTTATTTCTGAATCTGAAATAAATCGCACTGAGGGAAGCCACACATAGGCTAAATGTATTCAAAACAACAGTATTTTGTACTAATACACTGTGAAATGTCTATAAAAATGTTTCCCAAAATTTGGTTCCAAAACCTAAATTAACATTGTCTATAAACTACCTAAACAATATATTACTTGTAAATTGTCTAAGCATTAATGGTAGGAAAGCCACTTATACTAGAGACCGGCCATGTATGAAGTGTTTCTTGGAGGTTATAGTAACTTGAAGAATGATCATATGACTTTTTACATATGTCATGTGACCTGTAAATGCGAAAAAAACCCGTTTCCATTGAAGTTTTGCGAATTATTCCTTTTTCGCACTGCCTGAAAAACTTTTTTGCGATATATGGGCGTTTTTGCGAAATTAACGCGTTTCTATTAGTCGTATTTGCAATTTGAAGGGTAATGGAAACGGGCCTAATGACTAACGCGATCAAATAGAGGCACGCACTAATGCAGCAAACATGTCGGCAGTGAGAAAGTATTCAAAACTATCAGAGAAAGACGCAGAAATCATTACAAGTACGAAGCACCGACAGCGACGTCTCCGATGAGAAGAGGTGGCTGATGCTGGTGGTTAGGCTACTGTATGATGATTGAAATCGCGAAATGGCCTCAAACGATTAGTAAATAAACTGCAGAATGTTATATTTTCTAATGCACGCACAAATTGCATGTATTCTGACAGCGCTGCACAAGCTCGCCACACCAGGGCTCAAAGTCCAAACCGCGAGGGAAATCTGAGCTGAAACTACATGTATTCTAACATTCACACAGGGTTCAAATTGGGATCTGTAATATAGGCCTATTCTAATGTTTTAAAAGAATTCTCTTCTGCTCAGCAACGCTGCCTTTATTTGTACAGTAAAAAATACATGCCTGATTCAAGTCTCAAAAATGGCCAAAAAAATATTATTTTACTAAATTATTCATTTTAAGTTAAATTGTGGTTTGTTGGTATAATGTCTGCTAGAATGTTAAAAAAATGTTCAGTGTTAAAGGGAGAGTTCACCCAAAAATGAAAATTCTGTCATCATTTACTCACCCTCATGTCGTTCCAAACCTGTATGAGTTGCTATCTTATGTTGAACATAAAAGAAGATATTTTGAAGATTGCTGGTAATCAAACAGTTGGTGGTTGCCATTGACTTCCACAGTATTATTTTTCCCTACTATGGAAGTCAATGGCAACCACCAACTGTTATAATAAATATCTTCTTTTGTGTTCAACGTAAGAAAGCAACTCATACAGGTTTGGAACGACATGAGGGTGAGTAAATGATGACAGAAGTTGAATTTTTGGGTGAACTATCCCTTTAAGTAAATATTTTTAAATTGTTGTTTTGTAATAGATTTTTTTATTTGAAAAGCAGGACAAAACAGTAAAAAGCTAATTTTGGTTATTTAATTGATGCAATGGTGAAAAAAATGATATAAAATATAAATACTATATAAAAAAAAAAAAAAAAAAAAAAGGAAATTCTCCGCTAAACTTCAGTGAACGAGCGCCACCACGAGTAAGCCAAATAAGCGAAAAGGCCGAATAATATGTACCAAACAATGACTAACGCAATCAAATAGAGGCACGCACTAAAGCAGCAACCATGTCTGCAGTGAAAGTATTTAAAACTATCAGAGAAAGACGCAGAAATCATTACAAGCACGAAGCACCGACAGCGGGAGACTGTTTAGTGCTGCATCACGTCTCCGATTGAGAAGAAGAGGTGGCTAATGCTGGTGGTTAAGTTACTGTATGACGATTGAAATCGCGAAATTAACTCAAACAATTAGTAAATAAACCGCAGATTGTTATATTTTCTAATGCATGCACAAATTGCATGTATTCTGACAGCACTGCACGAGCTCACGCCGCCAGGGTTCAAAGTCCAAACTAGCGCGAGGAAAATCTGCGCTGAAACGGTGTTACTTGTCAGTTGCTCTGTAACATTTTTGTGAAATTTTTTTAAAGAGTTTTGTAAAGAGTATTGTAATTTTACTGTCGTTCTGTAAAATAAAATAAAAAAGACAACAATAACGATAATAATTACCCTACAACAGCTCTATTAATGCATTTATTATAACATTCACACACAGTGTTCAAATTGGGATCTGTAATATATTCTAATGTTATAAAATAATTCTCTTCTGCTCAGCAAGGCTGCCTTTATTTGTACAGCAAAAAATGCATGCCTGATTCAAGTCTCAAAAATGGCCAAAAAGTATTATTTTATTAACATATTCATTTTAAGTTGAATTGTGCTTTGTTGGTATAATGTCTGCTAGAATGTTAAAAAAAAAATTCAGTGTTAAGTAAATATTTTTTAAATGTTGTTTTGTAATTGATTTTTTATTTGAAAAGCAGGATAAAACCGTAAAAAGCACATTTTGGCAATTTAATTAATGCAATGGTGAAAAAAAAAAAAAAAAAGGCAAAATAGGCCAACATGGGGGGCAAAAATGCGAAAAACCATGTTCGGTATTTGGCCTTCGGCCCAGGGTTTTATTTTGTTTGGCTTCGGCCAAGAATTTTCATTTCGGTGCATCCCTAATATAATTGGGTGAGTGAAATAATTGTGTTGCTCAACTTTCAGACTGATCAAAACTAGCAGCTATATGCATAAATGTAAAAAATTATGTGATTGCTTACAATGTCATTTAGCAGACAGTTTTATCAAAAACATACATTGCATTCAAGCTATACATTTCATCATATTGTACATTCCCTGAGAAACGAACACATGAACTTGACATTCTTAGCACCATGCCCTACTGTCTGAGCTACATGAATCCTAACTAAAGTGACATGGGTGGTTTTATATTCTCAGTTCCTTACTGGAAAATTTGACAATGGATCTAAGAATAAAGTAATCAGTGCTTAATCACAAACACCAATCCTGTTTCAAACAGAGACAAAAAAAAACAGCTATACTCAAAAGTGACAGGAATTTGGTCTTAACCAGCACAATGACAGTGTCAACACTTCTCATTGCCTGAATTAAACATGCATAAAACAAACTGTTCATCTATTGGCTCATCAGACACACACACAAAAAGAGGACACGCTGTAACATGGACACTTAACATATGTAGAGTGCCATACTCACATTAACATATTCATTCGCTCTCGCTAAATATAAGCCACATGCAACACTCATGGTAAATCATGTGATGGGTTATGCCTGAAAACAGTGCCTTTCCACTGTCTCCGACATTTGGATATGATTGTCGCATGTTTCCCCCTAGCAGCAGTCAAACAGAACTTTCAAACTGGTCGTGAAGCAATACCCTCAGCTTATTCACCATGGTAAAATAAATGATTTTATTGAATATAATGAATGTCTAAATATATCCACACAAAATAAAATGACCCCCAAAATAAAAACAACATACAGAATGATTTATTTTAAAATAATTATTTCTGCCATAATTATTCTAAAGCGCCATTTTACAGAAATAGTGTTTACAGAATAACGTTAAAGTGGAAAAATATCGGTTATTCTGACCTTACACTCATAATTTTGATTAGAATACATCACATCTGGTTGGGTGTTTGCATAAGGTCTAACCGCAGAAGTTCAAATATTTTAATGCATCCGAAGCTCAAATTGGATCCGAATTTTCTGCATGCGCATATGATCAGAGCTCAACGCAGCTCCCACACTACTCTTCATTGGAAATGAATGACTTTAGGTCTATCTCTTGTCGTTTGTCAGAGACCGTGGAAAGGCGGCTTAAGAGCGGGAGCGGCCATTTTTATTTTGAATGTGCAAGTCTTCCATTGTCAGCCACCTATTTTAGCTGTAAAAAAAACAGTTTGTCATGCTGCTTGATATTGCAAACAGGTATTTTTTTTATCATATTGCAATTTATTATTGTAATCATAAACACACTGTTTTTACCATTTACTGCACTTGTTTTTCTGGTTATTTACCTATTGCAGCAGAATCTGAAGTCTTGTACATTCACAGAAAATATCTTACGTCCAAATAGACAATGGTGGAAAAAAAAATTTTTATTAAATTTTTTTTGCTGCTGCATTTATAAGAAATGCATGTCTGCATTCTCTGCATCTACACACACTCCCAAAATCTAAGTGCAAGTCCTGGAAATTTAAGGGAGCCAAACAGTTAAAGAACGCAGCTGTCAATCCCTTTCTTAACTAAACCATGTACGAACAGGACCATATTTAGCACTCCAAAAAAGACAGACAACCGTAATTCTGCTGCTGTGTGATAGTTGTGACAGAATCACCAGACAATCCTCACTGAAAGTTATTGGTGAGACTTAAATGATCATGGACCTTCAAAATGAACTTTAGTCTTTAGTTTAACTTGGGGATCTTTGGAAAAGATTTGCAGAGCGGAAAGTTCCACTACTTTTGAGGCATTTCCTTATTACCTCTATGACTAGGTGGAAGTTTTGCATCACCCAGCAGACATTACTGATGTGTAAACTGATGCATTTATCTGTGTAACATCACAAAAAATTCCAAATTAATTCTAATAAATGCTTTTTTGGACTTGGACTCTAAAGATCAAGAAAAGGTTGATTCCTTATGATATGACACCTTTAATTGAAAAGCAAGTAAATGTTGTACTGAACATCTTTGACTTGACTTTAATTCAAAATGTTAAAGTTAGGGCAAGCGACATCAAAAAGTTGCCTTACCTCTCCCGTATAGATCATGAGGGGCTTCTTCCTCAACTCAACACACTTCCTGAGCTTACAGATCTGATGGCCCGTTTTTCGGTTCAGGCAACTCCTGCATTCCCCGCAGTTGATCTTGCGCAGGCAAGGTGTGCAAACACCACAGTGAATTCTCTTTTTCCTGCCCCTCCTCTCTTGAACTTGAAGTAAACGCAGCTGAATATCCTCAACTTGGAGAGAAGGGTTTCCTGACGCCCCGTGCTCCAGAAACAACTCCGAGTCGCTGTCAAACGAGGACTGGGTGCTTTCTGTGCTACTGGAGAGCGACGCCATCGCCTGAGGCCCACGGCCCATTTCACAAAGAGTGCTGTTGTAAATGGTCATGCTCAGCGAGAGGAGAGAAAGCGCCCCCTCTTTCTTCATTGACATTTCATCATCCCCATTTTCATCTTTGGTGTCCACGTCTACAGTGCTTTCAAACTCATTTTCCTTCTGGGGAGCATTTGCAAGTTTTTCAAGTGCTGGTGATTCATTGGAGGACTGACACACTTCGGAGGCCACAGTCTCACCTGCTTCTGTAGAGTTTTCTGGAGTGGTTTGAAAAGAATTGTCGGGAAAGTTAATGTGTGGAACGATGTGTTGAACCTCTTCAGTCTGTCCTGAAACATACTTATCTGACTGTGAAGGGGCGGGAGTTGTTGGGCCTGAGGTATTATTGTTGTAGGCAAAGTCCACATTATTGACGGGGTCGTGAAGGTCATGTTGCTCAACAAACGCTGTTTTCGGCTGCTCGGTAGGAGCAGAGCAGCTTTCGTTTTGCACAGTTTCTGTGCCTGCTTTTACAGTCTCTTCCTCTGCCTTGTCAGTGTTGTGAACAACAGTTTCTCTGTGATCCTCCGCAGTTTCCTCTGAGCTTATGTTAACACTCTGTCCCTCTCCAGTGGGAATTACAGCACCATTTTGTTGTCCATCACCATTAGGATCATGAACTTCTGACCTTTTAGTATCAGTATCCTGTTCCCTGATCTCCAGAACTCCCTTTTTCTTTGTAACCACTCTCCTGTAGGACTCAACTTCCCTCGGACATGAGACACTATTGCAAGGTGACTTCCCTTTCCCATTAAGTTTTGACAACAAGCCATTTTGGTTCAAAGAACCACGCGTGTGCCTGGATCCTTTAACAACGAGGACATTCTTGACTGTCCTCTTACTGGGCTTGCTGACAACAGTCCTCTGGGTTGCTTTGGCTGCCTGTTTCTTATCTATGGCCTTCCTGATCTCGCCATTCGCTTTGAGCAAGTTGACGGTTTGCCTCCTAGTCGTGGAAGCTTTCACCCTCCTAACATTTTGCTTTTTGGATGCACAAGATGACTTCTTGGGTGCTTTGGGAGTGTGAGGCATAGCTGAAGCCAGTGAGGGTGAGGGAGGAGGAGTTCAGGATAGCCGGCATGGGAAACAGTATAAAGAGGACTCTGGGCAACAGTACTTTTCAGATCTTTCATGTAATGTTCCCTGTTTCAAGTAAGATCACATTGACATTTTTCCACTGATGACATATGGATGTATGGCTACCTGTGGAAAGGACAATTCATTATCGAATTATGTCGCATGATGCAGCATCTTCTTATGTTTATTAAAGACCCCTTAAATCAATATTGGGGTTTGTGGCTTGAAGACAACTATATATTAGTTTACTCCAAAAATTTGACAAAATTCACTTCAAAACTATTGATGTCGCAATCAGCTTCCTAGTTCAGGTGTCATGGTCAGGGAGTCGTACCACAGTAGTTCACTTAACAGAAATCATATCACATTTCTGAAATGGGAAAAGTAAACTACACAAGACATCACAATACACACCATGGCATGTGTTAGAAGTTTTGAAAAGTCAAGCCGTTTATTCATTTAATTATATTTCAGCATAATCTAGCTAACATTTGTAAATAATTTAAGGCTGAAATGTAGCAGGGATATACTGTACATTCAAATTATTTTTCATAATGTACTTTAAACCGCATTACAAAATATTGTCAGAAAGATATTAGTCCTGCTGCTGTTGTTGATAAGTAACAATGGTGATGTTTTACAAGACAAGCACGTTGTCACATTGCTGGAAATAGATTTATCAGTGTCCCAATGTGTAGTAAGTCAGGGTCCCTCCCTACCAGTGCATGTCATGTACACAACACACCGATTCACGACCTAGGGAGATGTTTGAGACGCATCCAATGACTCATCCTACACAGATTTTTGTCCAATCAAATGCTCTCTACAATGAGATTGTCCCTCCCCCTGCTCAGACCAGCAAATAGGAAATTGTGACTAATGGCTGTAATGAAAACTTAAGGCATCTGGCTATTTAAAAAAAGAATGAGTCTGTCAATGTTTAAAAAAAATTAATAAACACAGTAAAGAAAATTGTGCTCACCAAGTCATTAAATTGGGTAATTAACTTCAAGCTGTAATGTGAACCATACAGTAAACTAAGTAATCAACTAACAGATAATCATGACGTCTGACATATCACATAGTTTGATGACTGTGTGCAGGTGCAAGGTATACTCCTCACTATTCCAAACTTTGTACGGTTTCTTTTTTCCACAGAATTGGGGTACTTTTAAACTGTTGCCATGGGTTGATTTTCCCAAGTGGGTTAAAGGTTTGAAATATTGCATAAATTACATTTGACTGAAATGCTTGTATTGAAACATTTTGCATTCTACTAGTGCTGGGCGGTATACCGGTTCATACCAAATACCAGTGTTTATTTTTCTTATGATATGAATTTTTAAAATACCGCAATACCGGTTTAGTTTAAATAATGTTCGGCACGCGTTTGAGGGGGGGGGCTCTTTTCACTGTTGCACTGTGGTGAGGGAACAGCTGTATGTGTTACTAAGCGTGAAAGTTCCGAAACTGAAGCTGTAGAACTAATAGAACATGATGACAGATGAACTCATCCCCAATATCCACTGACCGCCACACATATCCACCGCCCCCTGCCATCAGCTCCCGCATCTCACACACACGAGCGCGACTTCAGCACTAGATTTAGCAACTTTCAGACCCTTTTAGCGGCGTTTTCCCATAGAATATATATACTGACAAACCTAGAAACCTTTTGGGATAAACCTTAGCTATGATTAAGTTGGAAGATGTCGCCGAGGTCTGACCCTCCCGGCGCGGTGTCGTCTCTCTCGGCATCTGTTCTGTGCAGTGAGCGGCAGAGAAGCATTGCTTTCAGCTGGCCGTACCACAGCCGACTCGTCAATAAATGAGTACAAAACAGCGTTTCCAAGCACCTGTAGCTTACTGACTGTTTGGAATAATAAATATGAGTGTAGTCCGTCTGTTAACCACAGCCGACTCGTCAATAAATGAGTACAAAACATCTATTAATATAATGCAAATATTATTATTTTTTTGTTACTCAGACGCAGGCAGTGCACTGGATGAGACAAAAAAGTAATATAGTCAAAACCACCGCATAGCCGCTCAACATGCATCTACTGTACATGCATGTTGATTTTATCAGACGATGTCGTGATTATAAATGAGAGTGACTCCTGGTTAACATGTATAAATGGGTCGTGTTTCGTCACTGAACCCCTTTAAAGAAAATGATCAAACTTATATCACTATACACTATTAAAAAGGTCTTAAAGAGTCTTAATTCACCCTTCCAAAAATTTAGGTCTATAAAGACCTTAAATCAGAGTGGAAAGTATTTAATTCATGAAGTCATGGCATTAAATGTTGCATGAATTGCAAAAAAAATTTATATCTTCCTCAGTATTTTTGTTTTACATTTACTTCAGATGCAAATTGAACATACTGCATGAAGTCTTGTTTTCTGAGAAATTTATCAAAATTAAATGAGTTTATGGTTAAACCAAGAACAAACATTTATTAGTGGGGATTGGGGAATGAAAACTTGTTTTCCTTTTAATTAAAATGTTTTTTTTTTGAGCCCATTGGCAGATATTTGTTCTGGTTGTAATCAAACTCACTTAATTTTGATAAATTTCTCAGAAAACAAGACTGGTCATTTTATTTCTCAAATAAATATGTTTTGATTAAAAAATCTTTAGACATTTGGATGGGAAAACAAGACAAAAATACAGATAAAAAAACATTACTTTTTTGCAGTGTGGTTAGAAGGTAGAAAAAGTTATGCCCATATTCTAGTGCTTGGGAGCAGAGCTATTCAATCCATATTTTTTAAATTTATTAAACAGTAATGTAGAAATTGTTTCGTTTATTTTTTATTTACTTATTTTTTTAACTTTGAAGTGTTGCTAATAAAAGAGATTTACATTTAGAGACCATATTGTTGTGTTGTTCCAATCAGTTTATTCTTTAAATTTTCTTTACTTGATCTTAAGAAGTTTTCAATTTACTTTTATAAAACTGAAAGTAACCCTGTAAATTGAATGTTCCAAAAGTGGGGTTTCATAGCAATGCAATAGAAGAACAATTTTGGGTCTCCAAATAACTTTTTACCCCAAAAATTTTTTTCTTAGTGTGAAGAACATTTTAATAATCTGAAGAACCTTTTTCCATTATAAAGAACCGTTTGTGTTAAAGGATCTTCATGGAACCATCAGTGCCAGTAAAAAGCCTTGATTTTTAGGAGTGTAGGATGGCTTATGTGAGTGTTTTTGGGATTAATATGGAATACTGTTGACTTTTTTTGTTACTTACTGTTTAAAGGCACAAATAAGCCACGTAATTACTGTGTGGAAACCATAATAACTTATAAAGCCCTATTCGCACTGGATTAGTTTTACCTGGTGACCTCCAGTCATTTGTAATAATTGCGGAGGTTGTCTGTGATCTTAATCCCGTGCGAATCGGCCATGTCTGTAATTAAAAGTTAAAATTTCCCCGCAAATGACCTACCATATTTCGCCGAACACCGAGGTCCTGTGATAATATTAGTCCCGTGCGAATCGGCATATCTGTGGTTCGGCCAGCATTTGGCGGGTCGTATATAATTTTTCGAGTTTTTTGTTTCCTGTGCGCATTTTATCCATCTTTCGCGAAGAATGGAGCTGCGTTGGAGTGTTTGATAGTATCTGGGTGCTGTCATCATATCACTACACCATACAATTTGCAGAAAGAGAAAGCTGAAAAGGTTTTGAGGTTAATGTGTTAATGTGTATCAAGCACAAAGCTTGAGATATTATTTTAACCTGGTGAAATATAAATGACACAGCGCACGAAACTATATTAGTTTATTTTTTTAAAAATCCATCTGGACCATAGAACGGGACTCTCAAAGCCTTGACATCCGGGTATCCGGGAGATAAGTCAGTAAATTCGAGTAAAATCACAGGCTTCACTTATCCCGTGCGAATGCACCACACGAAATTCAGATGTGGGGGGGTAATTTCAAAATCACACAAGGTCCCCAGATAATACTAATCCTGTGCGAATAGGGCTTAAGACATGCTGATCACTGAGGAAGGGGGCTAATCAGAAATCTTATTCAGCCATTTAATCAAATGTGTTTGTGCATTGAAGACACATTTACAGATGATACGATGTGACAGACTAAAAACAGCTTTGAGATACTGACTCACATGAGCATCTTCAAAGTATTATTTATAAAGCAGTAGTTTCTGAGTTAGTAGTGTTTTCTAAGGCGAGTGCCACTGTTACTTTTGCTCAGTTTTTGCTGTGTCCCATTCAGTTGGGATGGGAAAAATTAGTGCTGGGCGGTATACCGGTTCATACCGCATACCGGTATTTTTTTTTCTTATGATATGAATATTTAAAATACCGCAATACCGGTTTCGTTTAAATAATGTTCAGAAAGCGTTTTGGTTTCTCTTTTCACTGTTGCACTGTGGCGAGGACACAGCTGTATGTGTTACTAAGCGTGAAAGTTCCGAAACTGAAGCTGTAGAACTAATAGAACATGATGACAGATGAACTCATCCACAATATCCACTGACCGCCACACATATCCACCGCCCCCTGCCATCAGCTCCCGCATCTCACACACACGAGCGCGACTTCAGCACTAGATTTAGCAACTTTCAGACCCTTTTAGCGGCGTTTTCCCATAGAATATATATACTGACAAACCTAGAAACCTTTTGGGATAAACCTTAGCTATGATTAAGTTGGAAGATGTCGCCGAGGTCTGACCCTCCCGGCGCGGTGTCGTCTCTCTCGGCATCTGTTCTGTGCAGTGAGCGGCAGAGAAGCATTGCTTTCAGCTGGCCGTACCACAGCCGACTCGTCAATAAATGAGTACAAAACATCTATTAATATAATGCAAATATTATTATTTTTTTGTTACTCAGACGCAGGCAGTGCACTGGATGAGACAAAAAAGTAATATAGTCAAAACCACCGCATAGCCGCTCAACATGCATCTACTGTACATGCATGTTGATTTTATCAGACGATGTCGTGATTATAAATGAGAGTGACTCCTGGTTAACATGTATAAATGGGTCGTGTTTCGTCACTGAGTGGAATATTTCTACAATATTCACTTATCATGACAGTAAAATAGGGCTTTCCTAGTCAATCTACTGCAGTAGCCTATTTCCTCTCTCAATCAATAGAAAATGTGGTTTACACCCGGTCATGCATGGAAAAAAATTAATAAATACCATCATATACCGTGAAACCGGTATCATTTTGAAAAATACTGTGATATAAATTTTTGGTCATACCGCCCACCACTACATTCTACCTATGATAAAACTTTCATAGACTTCTACATTAACTGTTCCCTCCTGGTGGAATGACCTGCCCAGCTCAATCCTAGCAGCTGAGTCCTTAATATTTTCAAGAAACGGCTAAAAATACATCTCTTTCATCTTCATTTGACCCTCTAACTCTAGCACTCTCTATTCTAATGCTACCTCTAATTTTATCTGCTTGTTTTTTTTAATTTAAAAAACTTGACCCTCTTAACATTTGCACTCTCTGTTCTATTTCTATTCTAATGGCCAATCCATAATTTTTTGGGGGGAATTTTTATTTATTTATTTTTTAATAAGTATCGGTTCAGGCACCGTTTAGGCCCTGGAACCGTTTTAAAAGTATCGATTTGGCACCGGTATC